CATGAAAAATGAATTTCCCAAAGTTTTACTCAAAAATCCCCAAAATGCCCCCGGGCCCACGTGGTCAAAACCCGAGGTTCGAACCAAAACCCGATTACCCATTCCCCCATGAACTCGGATATGTGAGTTATTTTGGAATCGAACCTCAAATTGAGGTCCTAAACCCCCAAATTTAGGAACCCTGGTTCTACCCTAAATTCTCAAATTCCCCCATTAAAATCTTTGTTTTGAAGTTGAAATTATGTTTAAGGATGTTAAGGAGTATAGAAAATCAGTTAGAAATCACTTACCAATCATTTTGAAGAAGAAGAATCGTTTGGAAAATCGCCACTTATGTTTTGGGTTTTGAAAAAGTGAAAAAAATGATTGAAAATCCCGACTTTATATACTTTACTGAAGACCCGGCGCGGACCGCACAAAAATGCCCCGCGGCCGCGCCGAGGAAGGGAGGGAAAACGACTCTCTGAAACTACCCAGCGCGGACCGCACTGATTTGGTGCGCGACCGCGCTGGTTGAATGGACCCAAGACCCCTCTCTGAATCTTCCAGAGCGGACCGTGCTGATATGGCACGCGGCCGCGCTGGTCGAACTGGAATTCACTGGCCCTCTGAACCTAGCCACGCGGACCGCGCATAAATGCACCGCGGCCGCGCGGCTTCCAGCGCGGACCGCGCGGAAATGACCGCGGCCGCGCTGGGGGCCTGCAACACCTGGACCTGCAAATTTCTGATACTTTTAAGTCTAAGACCCTCCGGGGACCCACTCAAAACTCACCCGAGCCCTTGGGGCTCCAAACCAAATATGCACATAACTCCAAAAACATCCTACGGACTCATCCGTGCGATCAAATCGCCAAAACAACATCGAATTAGGCCTCAAGACCCATGATTTCCTTCCAATTTCCATGAAACATCAAATTTTACTGCTTCTAGCTCAAAACACGTCAAATGACGTCCAAATCTAACCAAACTTTACAGCAATTGCTTAACTCATATTTAAGACTTGTGCCGGGCGTCGGAACCAAAATACGAGCCCAACAGCACAGTCTTCTAAACAAATAACACTTTCCAATTCTTTAATTATTTTCAGAAAACAATTTCATGTAAAAATTCATTCCTCGGACTCGGGACCTCGGAATTTGATTCTGGGCACACCCCCAAGTCTCATATTTTCCTACGGACACTCCGGGACTATCGAATCACGAGTCCGAGTCCGTTTGTCCAAAATATTGACCGAAGTCAAACTTAATCAATTAAAACATCAAAGTTTTATTATCTTTCTCACAAATTCATATTTAAACGTTCCGGCTACGCGCCCGGACTGCGCACACTAATTCGAGGCAACCCCCAAGTGAGGTTTTCACGGCCTCAGAAATACAAAGTGAGTAGGAATACAGGTGATGACCCCTTTGGGTCGTCACAAGAACTTGCTTAAACATGCTATATCAAAAATTTATTTTCCTTTTTTGATCAATAAGTAATAATTATATTATTTGTATATCACAGTGTATAACATAATAATAATGTGTATATCAAAATAAATTAGTAAAATTTTATTTTTCTTCTTTGTATAACACATTTCAGATTGAAAACTCAAGTTCAAGACGACTCCACATGTGCATCCTCTATTGTAACCCGTGTATATCTCTATGTACGTCAGTGATATCTCATGTATATTATGTGTATCTGTGTATATCCATGAAAATTTGTTTTATATATACGATATACAATGTGATATACATTGTTGTCCATAAAAAAATTGTGTTGTATACACGATATATAAAGTGATATACACAGACGTCCTTATAAACGTGCGTGTGATATACACTGATGTACACAATATACAACGTGATATACACATGTCGTAGTTGGATTTTTAGGTCTGGTTTCTTACTTGAAACCAGTCTAAATCACTTCTAATCTTGCTCAAATTTTGTATATAGCCTCGTTTAGGTATTTTCAACCAATTTCAATCACACCAACGCATTCAATCCAACCAAAAAAGAAAAACAAAGTTGAAACTCTCTTAGTTTTTGCTAATCTTGCTCAAATTTTGTGTATAGCCTCGTTTAGGTATTTTCAACCAATTTCTATCACACCCACTCATTCAATACAACCAGAAAAAAGAAAAGAGAAGAAAAACAAAGTTGAAATATATTTTTTCTCTCTTAGTTTTTGCTTCTGATTTTCTCTGATGTGAGATCAACCTTACCTTTTCATCCCACTGATTTTTTTTGCATAATTTGCAAGAATTTTTGCTAAACTATGAGAGCAAAAGAGAAGAGAAGAAGAAGAAATACAAGGAGAGAAAGGGGGAGGGAAGCCAAAATAAGCGTGTAGTTTTTTTTGAGAAAGAATATAAAAGAGAGTAGTTTTTTAAAAATTTGGCTATATAATGCCAATTGTTTGGGGCTATCTTTGCCAAACCTAATATAAGGCTAAAAAATGAGAAAATCTCACTTTATACCCATTAATTCCAAACTATTTACCCTTTAATACCCAGGCCCAAACTATTTACCACTCCTACCCATGCGGCCCACACTATTTACCCGCTAATTCCAGCCGCAACCTGCAAACAAATGGAATAGTTCCCGCTAACAAGGAATCTTGAAAGAGAACCTCGAGTGGTGAAATAGAGATTCAAACAATGGCTGAAAAATCTGCCTTCGAAAAAATAGGCCAGGATTTGTGCAAAAACATGAAAAATTTTGTGCAAAAGCATGAAAAATCTGACAAATCTCGTATCATTCTCCGGCAAAGTCGATCTTCAGGTCTGTTCTCTTTTTTTTTTTGTCAAAACAACAAAATTTGTGCAAAAACATGAAAAAATACAATCTTTATGTTAGGATTCGCTGTATTTGTTTTTTAAATTATAATTCCTGAATTTCTTTTCTGGGAATTAAATAGGTATTCAGGAAAAAAGAGTTGAAAAAAATGGCAGAGCAAAAGAAGCAGCAAATGGGATCTAAAAAAGTGAATCAACTTCGACCATCGAATTTTAGGGTTAATATAACTGTAAAGGTTATTAGTAAAAAGCCAATTGTACAGAGAAATTGTCTTGCTGAGTGTTTGGTGGGTGATGAAACTGGAATTATTATTTTTACTGTCCGCAATGATCAAGGTAATTTTTTTGCTAGGATTGAAAAAAAATGAATCTTTATCGTAAGAATTGGCTTGTATCATCAATTGGGAACAAATATTATTAAGATCTTGTCATTGATGGTTGAAGGGGTAACTGATTTAAATGATTTTGCCGTTTTTCATTGTTGTCATATGTCTGACTTCTGCTGTGTGTATTACATGTTGCGTGGAAGTCGAAGAATGAGTGTATTGAGATTTATTGAGTCTTCGTTGTTCAAATTGGCATATTTTAGACATGCTGGGTGAAACTTATAAATGTCTAGCTAATTAATAGTGGAAGTTGAAAAGGTTCGATGGTGTAGTTAAGGATCTAATTTTATTTGAAATTTGAAAAAGATTGTTGGTTTGTTGGAATTCAGTAGTTGCTTCAATGTTCCTTTCCCTTATTTCTTTATGTTCATTTCCCCTCTGTTTTTTTGGTTTTGCCGTCTTCCCTTTTCTCTGTTGTTCTCACTAACGTTTTTTGTTTGCATGTTGCGGCTGGAATTAGTGGGAGGAAAAATTTGATAGCATTGGAGCTGATTTGAGGTGATTGAGGAAATTTCAGCTGAAAATCTAAAAAGAACACAGCTACCTAATAGTATACTGCTACGGTATACAATATACTGTAGGAGTATATAGCTGTGCTGCAACAGTATACTATTATTAGTTTACAATATACTGCAATGGTATATCGTAATAATCGAAGAAGAACACAGCTACCTAATAGTATACCGCTACAGTATACAATATACTATAGGAGTATATAGTTATACTGCAACAGTATACTATTATAGTATACAATATATTGTTATAGTATACTGTAACAATATGCAATATACTGTAACATTAGGATGTAATAGTATACAATATACTATAATAGTACACTTATTATCCGTAAATTCACTTGCCTTTTCCCTTTTAATTTGCTTTAAGCTTTTACCCAGCGTGAGGGGCAAATTGAAAATGCAAAAAAAAAAAAAAATTTATAGTATGCTATATAATGTAACGGTATACTCTTACAATTAGATCCTTTTAGAATTTTTTGAAATTTTTATTGACAAGTGATATTATTTCAGTTTAATAATTGAATTAATTTTTTTTTAACTCTTTGCGTACAATTGTATACCCTGTTGGTATAACTATATACTATACTGATATCATATGTTAGTTAATATTCTTTGATTGTATTAGCTATATTTAATTGGTACACAATTTGATTTTTCTTTAGTAATAATATAAAAAAATAATAAAAAATAGTGAAAACGGTAAATGAAATTAGATTATGAAGAGAAAAAGAATATAAAAAAAAGAAGTTAAATGAAATTAGAAAAGGAAAAAAGAAAAAAATAAGAAGAAAACGAGAAAAAAAAAGGAGAAAAGAGAAAAAAAGAAAAGACACATAGAAATAAAAAAGAATTGGAGAATAAAGAAAAAATTTGCCACAAAAACTACTATGGGTAGGAAATGTAATTAGTTTATGGGTAGAAAAACAAATGGGCAGACAAGGGTAAATAGTTTTGTTTTTGTGGGTAACTGTGTCAAAACCCCCTAAAAAATTGCCAATTTCTGTTATGTGTTGTTATAGGATGCCAATTTTTCTAAAGAAACGAAAGAGTTGGAACTTGAATAAAAAGTAGTTTACAAGTATATTTTATGTAGTTCAAAAATATGAAAATTAAGTGGGGTCCACATTATTTTAGTAAAAAAAAAAAGAAAAAACCTAATTTTAGGTTGGCAACTCGCGTCCTAGAGAGTGGATTTCACGCAATGGGGGCTAACATGGTCGGGTGTTTAGTTGATCTTCTATTGTGAATAAATAAAGGGTCTAATTGAAAATAGGCTCACTTGAGATGTTCAGCTGGTCGTTCAAAAATATGATTATCATTTTTGTCCACCTACTTAGTAGTTACAATTAGTATTACTAATAAATCAAGTTCTTTAATATTGCTCACCTTGTTCTCAAAGACGTATTAGGATTAAACTCAATAAGCCAAGTATTAGAAGGAATATTCTATTTTTTATATTTAAATAATTTATAATATAATTAAATAATAGACTAAAAGAGTCTTTTGTCAACCTTTATGTCGATTTTTTTTACTGTTTAAAATTACAATTCTAAATATGATGATCCTGCTATCTTTTAGTACTAATACAATAAGAATATTAACTATACTAACAATTAATATCAGCTATAAACTCATTTTATATCAAAGATTTAACCTAAATAGCCGACTACAATCCATTTTCATAAAAGGAATATTATCACTTTTAGCGCGCGCCAGAAATTATTTATATCTGGTAGTTAAAAAAGTGTATAAAACTTATATAATTTTTGTATATAACATACAGAATATATATATATATATANATTTGTATGATTTTTGTATATAACATCCAGAATGTGTGTGTGTATATATATATATAAAATATACAAATTTTATACTTTTTTTGACTATTATTTTTACGGCGGCTATACAGTGTCATTTTTGTTTCATAATACATAAAAGAGTACTTGGGCCTGTTAAAAAAAGGAAGACACTGTTACAAGACCAAATCCCTTGTAGTGAAGCCCAAATATAAATGACTTTCTGTGTTAAACCTTTGCCAAAACCCTCTCCACTGGATTGCTCCTTCCTGCCGACGCTCTTCTCCGACAAAATCAAATTATTAGTTGTGGTTTTCTCTCTCGGTCCTCTGCCTCTGTTTCGGAGTCGCCGCTTCTTTCCTATTATACTCAGAGTTTGTTATCTTTGATTTCTCATGGGAAAGGAGAAGCTGAAATCGCTAGTTACGTCATTTACTGCGGACGGTGAATACCTCGCCATATTGTCTCCAGATGGAACCGTTAGAGTAAGCTCTGTTCCTCTATACCTGAACCAGCCAGCTGAGTTTTTTTCCACTTGTGGAACACTCAGTTTGTTTTTGTTACTAATAGTGTTGAGTTCACTTTTTTTACCCGACTTAGTTACGGCGCTTTTTTTGCATATTGGTATGTTTGGGTACTATTTTGCTGCTGGTTTCAAACTGCTTTTGGGACAGTGTATTTTTGGGCGAATTACACTGGGAATTAAGTTAACTGAGAAATTAGAAAAATTTACATTTCGCTATATTTCAACTTTGTATAGGGTTTTCCTGAAAGGTTGTTCCCTTGTATTCTTTTTAACTATTCCTTAACATAATTGACGTAATTGCCCAGTAAAATTGAAAAATAAAAACTTTAGGAGAAAGAATAGAAGATTTGTATTAGTGACCTTTTACCGTACGTTGGTTGGCTTTCTACTTGATGTAAATGATTTGTGAGTTTGCTGCTATTTTGCTGTTAGAATATCTTTGGGTTGGAGAGGTGGTTTATTCTTGGATGAAGAAGCCACAAGTTCGAACCTGCCCGCAGTTAAAGCTTGGTATTTAACTGGAGAAGGGTATTTAAGTGGAGAAGGGGCCGAGTTTTGAATCCCTTGGATTTCTTGGTTATAAAAATAAAGAAGCCAACTAGTTGAATTTTAGTGTTTATGGATCCATAGCACCACATTATGCAGGGTATGGGCATATCTATCTTCAGAAAATATTACACTGTCCAAAAGGGTAAAACAATTTTTTCTTGTATATATATATATACTATTGAATCTCCTTGACATAGGTTCATATCTGACGGAGGGTTCCCGCTAGACACTTATGTGACAATATAAAAAAAGATTCCACTCTATAGTCTTACACTAGCATGGTCATGCTTATTTACATTCTTTGATGACAGTATAGGCAAATCCATTGTATTGTTTCTCAACAGTTGCCTAATATCAGTCATCCTCTTTTTGCAACTTAGATGTTTTCGTCATCACTTATCAAAAAAGCAAAAAGAATGTAATATCCAGTTGATACGGGATAGACCTCAATTTGTATACTATCTGAAAAGCTTTTCTTAACTCTAGGAAAATATTTGCTTTACTTGGCTGGAAATACTAGGTGCATGGCTTTCTAGGGATTGGTTGGCTAAGTGATGTTGAAACCGATAAGCAGATATATTACATGACTGGGGGTAGATATTTGGTTGCTGGTTCACCCAAACACGACTTTGCAGCCTGCTCATTCTTCATTTGATGCGAAAAGTACTTTGTTCAGCAGAATATTGTAAGAAGCCGGGAGACAGGAAAGATAATGAACATTTAAAATGGTAAAAAACGAACAACTTACCGCTGATGAAAGAAGAGATAACAACCATCTTATAAATATTTGTTACAAGCTTGTGCTCCTTAATCTTTACACAGGTTATCATGCAAGTACCACACAAGATAATGTGATTTTTTCTAGACATTCAAGCAACTGAAGTGCTATAGTCTACATGGAACCTTTCACAAAAAGTGTTTTGGTCTTCATGGAAATAGTTACATCTCAGAAGATCACTTATATTGGGCACTGTATTCTCTCTGTTAAAATATATATAGACAAGAATATGATATAGGGAAATCTCTACAAATATATTATGCCTGTAAAACAATAATTGTATCCTCGTGACAGCAGGTCATGATGTGGTTCTTCTACCATCTCAATATTGTTTTCTCTCATTATTTATCAAGAAATAAGTTACGAAGATATACTGTATCCTCTTATTGGAGTTCTCTGCAAAATGTAACTTTGATATTTAAAGCTACTGTGTACTGCAAGTTCTTCTTGAAGCGGGACAGCCTAAAATTGTAATTAGCTACGGGAAGTAGGAAGTAAAGAAGTTCAACAATTATCAAGATTAGATAAGGCACACTTCTGATTCCATTATTCAATTGTCTGTATATGTATATCTTTTCCATTTATGTCATATTCCATGTCAAGACTTACGGGGTCAAAGTTAATGAAAAGAACCAGTGACCGGCGAGTTGCTGTGCCGACACTTGCGTTTTTACTTAATTATTCCTACTCTGCTTTGCTATTACCCTGTGTTTGTATTCTTTTGCTTTAATTATGACTAATTGTTGCCTGTCCTTCAGGTTTGGAACACAAGTAGTGGGAGCCTATTTGCTCAGTGGAAACCGGAGAATTCTGGAGACAGTTTCTCTTACATGGCTTGTGGTTTTGTTGGAAAGAAGGTAAGATAAGGAAACTGGAAAAAACCGCTTCTGATTATTGTGACGATGGAGTGGTAAAAAGATCAGCCAAAGTTTTTTGAACATCATCTAATCTCTCCACCAACAACCCCCCCCCCCCCCCCTCCGCCCCCCCGCCCCCCACTCCCTACCCCACCCCCCACCCCCAANACACACACACAAAAAAAAGAAAATCTCCCCACCCCTAATTCTGAAGAATTTAAGACTTCCATATTTAGCCACCATTACTATGTAACACTTTTGATAATTATGACAACTTTGTTAGGTTATCTTTATCTCATTACTATGTGGCATCTTTTTGTTTTGAATTTTTAGCGCAGAAAAGAACAACGTTTATTAATAGCCCTCGGCGCAGATGATGGAACTGTTTTAGCAGTTGATATTTCCGCTGAATTAATAAGGTGGAGAAAAGATGGAGCCCTTTCTAGGTATGTTATTCTTTTGCTCTTATGTGGGATGGAGAAGTACTTGTCAGGAAACACTTAGTAATGAAACCCTTCCTTAATGTCAGATGTGGGATTAAAATTTAAGACATACTTATAACACATCATTTAATACATGCAAAGTTATGACTTACTAATTGCACGTCATTAAAGTATCATCATATTCTGCAAGTTTAAAAGTTCATTTTTCCATGCTGGTTTTGCACTGTTCTAATGGCAGGAATGAAATACTTTTCTACATTTCATTTCCCCTATGATTAGATCTGTAGAGCCCCTTTTCTCTATGTCTAATGACATGCTTTATAGAGACATTTTGAAAGTTGTTGCTTATATACTTGATAACTCGTAAATCTTGAACCTTTTTTTTAAGTTTCTCTCTCTCTCTCTCTCTCTCTCTCTCTCTCTCTATATATATATATATATATATATATATATATATATATATATATATATATATTCTTGATGAAGTGTGTGTGTGTGTGTGTGTGTATCTATCTAGGTGGGATCTGGGATATTCTGTAGGAAACATCATGTATGGTATTTACTTGAAAAATCAACCATGAGGTTTTTCCATTAAAGTCGCCTCTTACTTCCAGAAATGTCTTGCGTGTATGTCATTCTATCCATCAAGTGATCTTGCTCAAAAGTTTCCAAATAGCCACGTGGTCCAGAAGTTTCTGTAAAGATATTTTGTTATGGGAAATTTCCACTATAATGGATTCTTATATCATCAATCTTCAGAAAATCGCCACAAGTTTAAGGACGGAATCCCAATCAGGAATCCTCCGGCGCATCAGGATAATTGTGGCAAGGTTCATATATAGAGGTCGAGAAATTATCTAAAATTCCAAATGGATCTGAGATCTAGTTAATATCCAACCTTCTTTGATTTCCGAAATTATAACACAAACTGCCTTAGTTTTGAGAACCAGGGGGCTGGTAAAAACTCATTGGACGACTTTCATCTTTTAAGTGGTTAACACATACAAATAAAATTTTGTCTCGGGCAGTTAGATCACTTGCTTGCGAATGTTCCGGGGACTTGTAGCCTGTCATTTATTAAATCTTGGGAGGGCCATTCAACTTCAATAGATTTAGATGGTCGTATACTTCTTAGCAGGGTTTATTGTGATCGCAAATGGATGAAGTGTTCAAACTATTTAATGTACTACCTTGAATGATGGCTGTCTTATTTATCACCAAAGACAGTTAAAAAAAGCGTAAATAAGAAATCTGTTGCTTTTGAAATGCAGTGGAGCTGCTGGTCTGTTTTTTGTGGACAAAGGCCGTAAGATTCATGCTGTTGCTGCGAATGGTTTAGTATTTGAGATGAACTCCGACACTGGAGAAGTCATCAAAGAGTTCAAAGTGTCAAAGAAGCCCTTTTCCTCAGTGGCTCATTCAACTGGTTTGTATCCAACTTATGTCTACAGTTTCTGTTTTACTTTTAAATACTTCTTTTTGACTTCTTTATTCTCACTGTGAAGACGAGAAAATTATAGCTGCAGCCAGTGATAAGTTGCGATTTCTAAGTTTAGAAAGTGGGAAAGAGTTGCTGAAGTTTTCTCCTGACTCAGTAAGCTGTCTTACGTTTATGTCTTCATCATGTGATGTTCTTTTAAAGTCTAAAAAGATCCATAAACATCAAGCTGCTATAACAGGCTGCTGCACAACGTTTATGGCTATCTGATGATGCCCAATTTGCTGTTACTGCTGGGCTCGGCGAGAAGCAACTTCAAGTGTGGAAACTTGATTTTGGTGATAGGGCTGCTGATTATGGGCAGGTTCTTTCCATGAAACATCCTCCTATAATTGTTGAATGCAGGAAGAATTGCAAGGGAGAAGACGGTATGGTTGTCCTTGCAATATCAGAGAAGGGTGTTTGTTATGTTTGGAATTTTGAGTCTGTCGCTGCTGAAGTTGCAAAGCCAATTAAGATCACTGTGAAGGCTAGCAAAGGGGAAACAGAAAAGAAAACTGGAAGAGCTAAGAAGAACCTTGCACCCATAATTGCTGCCAGATTGCATGCTTTGGACAGAGATGCACATTTGAGAGCCTTGATTGCATATGGCTCTGTGGAATCCCCAGAGTTCACATCAGTAGACATTTCAAGTCCAGGGGAGGATATCGTCATAGCAGCAGTAGACCAGACCGAGAAAGTGCTTGCTGCAGTTCAAGAAAATGGTCATGCCAGAAAAGGTGTTGTTAATAGTGGTTTACATTTTCTTGTCTCCTTGTGGAAAAATCAGGACTCCATTACAGAAGTCTGGCACTGTCACTCCCCTTCCCTTATCCCATTTGTACTACTGACTCGGCCAAGCAGTGCTGAGCTGTATTTTCTTAAAACTCGAATTCTTTTCTTGATGTTTTAGATGATGTAATACAGTCACTGTTAGAGAGATCAAATTGTTTGTAAATTGACCCACTTTTCTGCAAACGAGGCCATCACTCTGTTAGTTTTAACAAAGATTTTTAAACTTTCTTGCATCACAACACTGATACGTTATGTCTATGATAAATTGACATTTCTGATTTATGTCGAGAACAGTTCCCAGAACAGAATTATTCTTAAAATCTGTCTTTCTGATTGGTCCTCTCCCTCTGTTTCAGGTGCAGATATGCAAAAGGAAGGTGCTAAATTAATCCAGAAAAGCAAAGTGACGAATAAACGACCAGCATCTGATCTGGATGCCACTCCACCAGTGACAATCACAGATGATGGTATGACATACTTGCATGATTCTGTATTGCTCACATTGAAATTCAACATTTTTTAGATGCTCCAGTGGATAGATAATCTATACCCGTCTCTCTAAAAACAAAACTGTATCCGTCCATTTTCTTGATATTGCTTCAGAAACTTAATCGTCAATCCTAGTGTTGATTAGCAAAAGGGAGAATTGAAGCCGGGGAGTCATATTTCAGGAGTACAGGTAGGTCAGTTGTATTATGAGAATATCAAGGGGGTGTCAATGTATTTGACCCTGATATTTATTGAATTTGGAAGAAGTTGAAATGTTAAGGTGGTGAGTAGTGACGGTGTCAAAAATCAAAACACATGTAGTATTCTCTTTTCAAACTTGCAATTTTATATAAACATTTTATGGCTTTGTAGATGGATGTTATGTTATGCAGGATATTATGCACAAGCTAACTGCTTCCACTACAATAGACCTGGGGAGTTGTTTGAAACTTGGTTAGTCCTTCGAGTGTTCAGTAGAGAACCTGTTCATTCCCTTTTAAAGGGATCCCCTTCTTTTTGTTTTGTGGGTGGTGCCTTTTTGCATCATCTTTCTGCTGTTTCTGTATATCGAGCATTAGGATGTGGGGTCAGTTGATATTTGAGACTTGATTCAGAAATTTGGTACGAAGAACATTCACTACCTTCTAGAGGATAACCTTTTTGTCTGATGATGTGTAGGTAATGGTGAACCTATAGATGGAGTTCAGATTGATGATCTAAACGAGCCAACCATGGGTGAGAAACTCGCAAGGCTCCATTTGGCAGACAACAATGAAGATAAAAGCAATGAGGATCTAGAATCTCCTCAAACAAAGCCGCCAAGTGCTGATTCAGTTCATGTTCTGCTCAAGCAAGCCCTTAATGCTGATGATCGAGCACTTTTGATAGATTGCTTATACAGACAAGATGAGAAGGTTATGTTTGTACTGAAAAATTTCTAAGGTTCAAGCATCATTGATATGTTATTTCCTAATCGGTAGGATGTATCTTGGCTATGCAGGTCATTGCAAATTCAGTATCTCTTTTAAATCCGTCTGATGTTCTCAAGCTTTTACAGTCACTCTTGTTAATTATCCAGTCAAGGTAATGGAGATTGTGTTTTGTCTAAGTTGTGCATTTGACCACACTTGTGATATCGAGTTAGATTGCACCAAAGGAATGAATGCTAATTATCAGCCAATATATTGGTTCCAATTGTCAGCCAATATATTGTTCCACCAATTCTATTAACATAACGAAAACCTGTCTGCCATTCACATTTGCAAAGTGCAGTTGGCACTTTATTATGGATTGGTCATAGATTGGTCAAGTTGATGTTTATTATGGTTACTTTTTCTTGACAGGGGTGCTGTATTGGCTTGTGCCCTTCCCTGGTTGCGAAATTTGCTTCTTCAACACGCTAGTGGAATAATGTCTCAAGAATCCTCTTTGCTTGTACTCAACTCTTTATATCAGGTCTGGGAGTAACTCTTCATATGTTGATAGCACCTGTATCGACTGTTAGAATGTATTAAAAATTACTTTGTTGGTCTTTGTGCAGCTTATTGATGCCAGACTTTCAACTCTCCACCAAGCTCTTCAGCTATCAAGCTCCTTAGAATTGCTTTATGCAGGGGTAAGGGCAACGCAGAATAACGACGCCCCTCTCAAACCTCTTTTCCATGAAATCCTGACTTATTAATTTATATTTTTGCAGACTATTGATGATGGTGATGAGGAAGATGGTGCCATACAGCCTATCATCTTTGAAGATGAAAGTGATGAGGAGGGTTCTGAAGTTGCTATGGAAACAGAAAGCAACCCAGATGTCGAGGAACCAGAGGCTTTTAGTGACATTAGTGATCACGAATTGAGTGACGGCATGAGCGAGTGAGTTGTAACCACAGAGAATTCAGCCAGTTTTACGAGAATGCAATTTTCGGACAAATGTGCAGTCCGAGAAAATGGGCAGCGGATCCAAATGGGAAGTCTTGAGTGAGAGATGAAGATGAGGTGATAGGGACCAGACGGGAGAAGATCTGTAACCTGAAAATTTTGTTTTTTAAATTATAGAGAATATCATCTGATTTTGAGGCTTCGGAGAGGGCTTTTGGTGGTTATCTACTCGCCATGTACTGTTGTATGCATATAGGCGTAGATGAAATTAAAGCTGTATTCTTTCTTTCCCTCTTCTGTAAGCAACGTTGTACTTTATTTTAGCGGAGATAGAAAATCAGTGCGATCATGCTCCCTCTTTTTATTAACCTCAATTATGTTCTGCGAGTACGTTTGTAGCTTTTTTAGGTGTTGGGTCAAATCACTTGCAACGAAAAAGTATGATTTTCTTATTTGGCCAAACTGAATATAACAATTCTAGAATCTCTTTGATCACACCATAATAATCATTTTTCCAATCCTGATTGCCTTTTTGATACACACTCCATTGTTATTGCTTTTTTTATACTTGGAGTATTCCTCAGTGTGAAATTTACAACCATTCACATAATATTTAGACATAGTCATAGCCATAGTTCAAACTAATTAATATAATTAAGTTATATAATAAATTATAATTTGTTAGCACACTCAATTAATCTAGCATAATTAGTTAAGCCTAATTTTCTAAAAGCAATACACACTAATATAATAATAAATTAAACCCTAAAATAATAAATTAGACAAAACCCCTATTATACATCCAACTACGATATTCCATCTACATAAAGAACAAATAAATTATATTTATATTAATCATAATTCAAATTAATTTATAGAATTAAGTTACATAATAAACTTTAGTTATACATTACAAAATTTAAATAATTTGAGTGCATATTAATTTAGTTACAAGTTACAAATCACCCCAAGTTGAAAACACTTATTAACCATCGAAATGAAAAGGATTTATCTTATATTCTTTGATAGTGCAAACAATTTAACATAACTAATCAATTTAACTTGGTATAAAAAATTACTTAATGTTAGCAACTTCACTGATTATGTGAAATACCTTTTTGAATTACATTTAAAGTGACATTGAATTGTAATTTTTTTCACATTGTTAGAATATAAAAATTAAACTCAATTGAAAATATGTAAGAATGTGATAAATTTCTGCAATTTCATATAGTACTATTCCAAAAATCATGACCATGTAATCATACAATTGAAATAATCCCAAAATTCAAAATTGTAAATCCTAGTTTATACAATTGAAAGAACTTAAATAACTAAAATTAACAAATATAGATAACTATCCTTCAAAAAGAGGGGAGGAGTATAATTTTGGAGCATAAGTGGGGCGGAGGAGCGCTAGTGGGGCTAGGGGTGTTCAAAACCGAACCGAAACCGAAAACCGAACCGAAACCGAAGCTTAATGGCTTATTGGTATCGGGTTAACGGTTTAATGGCCGGGGAACAGATTGAAATTTTTTTATTAACGGCTTATCGGTTTGGGGGCGGATTATTCAATTTTCTCAACGGATAATCCGTTAACCCATTAAGAAATATATATATACATATATAATTTATTTTTATCCATGTATATATTAAATAATTAAAAACCCTTCTTCCTCCAGTACTCTATCAAAATGAATTAGAATAAAATAAAGCCAAATAAAAGGAGTCATCTAACTGTGACAAATGACAGAATTTGCTGTCTGAAACAAGATAACACCACCAGTTACACCACTGCTTCATCAACTTTGCCTGGGTTTAAAGGCATCCTAGAATACAAAGCATGACGAACATTTATTTTAACAATGGCCAATTGAAAATCTTTCACATGGACTAAGGCCAATATGCATAAACATAAATAAGATTCTAGATAGATGATACACCCATCACGGTTCTCTTCTGCTTCATCCCTCTTAGTACGTCGACTACATATTTAAACATACAGAGACTAAATTTTATTTTATTTTGATTGAATTAGGCCGATAAACCGCCCGATAACCGCCCGATAAGAGCTAAACAGATACCAATCCGCCCGATATCTTATCAGGTGGCTAGCGGATTAATACATTTAAAAGCCGATAACCGATAAGCCAAACCGTTAAGAGTAAATAACCGCCCAATCTGCCCGATAAGCAGCCCTAGGTGGGGCGGCCTTCTATAGCGGAGGCGCAATGGCGGCGGAGAAACAGTGGTGGCCCGGGAGAGACGAAAAGGGAAGTTTGATTTTGGGTGAGAAGGGAGTGGTGAGGTGATTTGAGTGGGATTTGGGGAAGGATTTTCGGATGTGGAAGAAGGAGGAGAGAAAGAGTAAAGAGAAAAATGAAGAAGAACCCCGCTGGGGCTGCCCTTAATTACAAATTTTCGACCGAAATCGGTCGGAAATTTTCGGTCGATACTGTTAATTATTATTTGACCGTTTGACTAGACATTACCGACCGAAATCGGTCAGTAATTGATTTTAAATTTTATATATAT